GGTGTTCTCCCTTTTCATAGTTGTGACTGCCTTCTCTGACGGTAAGTAAGCTGCCTCCCATTAACGGCAAAATATTTATTTGATCAGATCAATTTCCCTTTGTCACTGACTTCACCCCACTCAGCCTCTGACACCCCTCATCAGGGGCCTCTCCCCTACACACTTTCCTCACCCTCTCAGACTCCATCACCCACATCAGGCCAGTAAGTCTCTCCCACCATGGCCTACCTTCTTGTCCTCAGCTGAGTTATTCAGAAAGGGAAGAAGAAAGGAAAAGTTAGAACTCTTTTTAAAAAGTGTTTCTTTTCATGTGTGTATATGTGTGTGTGTGTTTACATACTCTGTGCTTACCTTATGCTTATTGCTACTTCCCTGCTTGCCACCGCGTGGTGAGCCTATCTTGGAGAAAATGCTCACCAGGTTTGCATTATATAGTGAGAGCAGCAGGCTCCACTGTCGATACAGGTGAGTAGGTGTTTTAGACAGGGCGAGTGCAGGCTGGGTCTTTAAAGGCCCAGGAGAGGAGTCACTGGGCACTGGCTGCCTTCCAAACAAACAGGCCAAAGGCACAGAGGTCTGTAGTGAGAGGCTGGTCTTGCAACCCTGCTGTCGCTCACTAGCCTCTAGCTCCCCCACTCCTTCCCTGGTGGCCTGTTTGTTTTCCTCAAAGCAAATTTATATTTTGAAGCCTTCTTATTCTGGGGTTGGGAAACCATAGAAACCTCAGCATCTGTTGTCATAATTTTTTACAAGCCGTAGGTCTTTGAAAAGAGTGTCTTCTTAGAACCCAGATTTTAGTTCACTTTTAAAGAATGTAAGCAGGTCAACCAGATCCAGACAAAACAGGGAAGTGTCTCCTTGTCTCTATGATATCAGGCCTTATCATTTATCCCCATGGGATTTTTCTACTTGAGAGTATCTTCCAGCCACTGGTGGGTTTGAGACTAGAGTGGGCTGGCATTCACCAGTGTGGCCCTTTTTTGGAAGGGGTCAGTGACCTTTTAGTTACTAAACCAGTGGTCTCTTTCAGTTGACCACTGTTCATTCCAGAAATTCTTTTTCACTGATTTTAGGGATCTTTTTGATCTCCCTGTTCCCTTCTGCCCTGAGCCATGCGCTCCCAACTCTAATGCTCATCCTAAATTTCACATGTTCAGAACTCAGCTCCTGCTAGTAGTGTTCCCCAAGCCGGCTTTCCCTGCAGCCTTCTCCGTCTCAGGGGCAAATGCCACCAGTGTTTGGGCGGGAGGCCTTGGTGGTGTCCTTGGCTCCTCACTTGCATGCACTCCCACATCTGGTTGTCAGCAGATTCTGTCACCTCTGCCTTCACATCTGTGGTGTGACCATCTTCATCATCTCTCCTGCCCCACCCTGGCTCAAGCCACCATCTTTATAGGGGCCTTCCAACTGGTCCTCTGCTTCTGCCTGTGCCCCCATCCACACAGGAGCTAGAGCCAGCCAGTTAACATGCAGGCCAGCTTGGGTCACTTCTCTGCGCAGATCATGCTTTCCCTTCCCATTCATGATGAAAGCTGAGGTCCTTTCTCTCACCTACAAGGCCCTCCCTGGTCTGCCCTGCAGTTCCCTCTCTCATTTCAATCTTCTGATTCCCATTCCTTCCTCTGCCCCACCCACACTGGCCCCTGCCTTGCCGTGCCCAGCCAGGCATGCTCCATGCCTCAGGGCTTTTGCACTTGCTTTCCCAGTGCATGCGATACTCTCCCCAGATGGCTTGGCGAGCATTCTTTACTCAAAAGGCCCTGTCTCCGAAGTTTCTGTGGCACTCCATCTAAAAATTCAACCCTTCTTTTGATATGTCATATTCCCCTTCTTTTTTTTTTTCTCTCCTTTCAAAATATGGTGTTTATCCCTGGCTAAATACTGTATGTTTTACTAACCTTGTGTATTACCTGCCCCCCACACTGGAAGGGCAGCTCCATGAGGTCAGAGATTGCTGTTGTATTTGGTTCACTGCTCTGTTCCTACCACCTGGAACAGTGCCTGGCTCTTCAGAGTAGCTCAGTAAATGAGTTGGATGAGTGGAACAAGTTGCTCAGCAGTCCTCCCTGGCTCTGTTTTCTCTCTGTGCACTTCACTCCCCTTGGTTGCAGAGAGTCTGTACTTCTACTTGTTTGCTGGATGTGCTGCTCAGACTTCATACCTGCTGGGGGTCCCTGCCCCCCGCTGTATTTTAGCCTCTCCACACTGGCATCTCATTGTCTCCCTCCCCATACAGATGACTTGCTGATCCTGTGTATGGCCTATTTTTCCCTCCTGTCTTGTAGCTCTGCTCAGGATGCCCCACTTCTCCCTCTGTGTTTCCGTACTTCAGCCCTCCCGGCTCAGATTCCACCAGAGCCAGCTGCCGTCCACCTCATCCACGGAAGCCTCCTCTTTACACCCCAGGAAGAAGTCTCAGTGCAGCGTCCCTGGCACTGTGCGTGTGCCTCTCCCTTGGCGGTTTCTTTTCCTGTGCTTTGTTTAGCTGTTGGCATTTGTGGTTAGCTGCTTTCTGGGTACCACCTGGAGGGCCGGGTCCCTCACTTGCTAACAGTACGCGTTTCCTCTGCAACACCTGGTGGTGTCTCAGGCTTAGTTAGCACTCTATAAACTTGTATTATTTAATGAGTGAATTAAGGTAGAATGTCTTATGATATTACAGGGTCCTATTTTCCAAAACCTAAAAAGTTTTATTTTTCTATTTGGGAGAGAACTGATTACCTGAGGCACTTCAAAATTTAAAACCACCTAACTTTCTCTTTCCATTTCTCATTCTTTTAAAGTCAGGCTCCTGCCTCAGTTGTAAGAGACCATCAGCCATCTCTTTCATATAGGCTGCATTATAAGTTCACTGTCCTTACCTTTGTCTGAGTTCCTTTGGAACAGGTTTAATTACAGTTGATCTAACCCATTAGGTCTAAGATTTGCTCATCGCTCACTGATATGTATGTTATATGTAGCACAAATATGTCATAGAGTCTTTAGCTTGGGGCGGAAGAGTTTTAAGAGTTTTTTTATTTTTTAAAAAACTTGCTGTAATTGAGAGACCCGTTTAAATCTTTTAACTGTAAGTTCATTTAATATAACATGAGAACTCTTATCACCAGTGATTAGCTTTATCTTCTTGGGCCAGTAATACTATAATTAAGCAAGGTATGTGCTTCATGTAATTATATTCTGTGATACCCCATCACTGCAAGTGCCAAGTATAAACAAAAAAACCAGGGCTGGGGCCCACCCCGTGGCGTAGTGGTTAAGTTTGGCACGCTCCGCTTTGGCAGCCCGGGTTTGCAGGTTCGGATCTTGGGTGCGGACCTACACCACTTGTCAGCCATGCTGTGGCGGTGACTCACATATAAAGTAGAGGAAGATTGGCACAGATGTTAGCTCAGAGCTAATCTTCCTCAAGTGGAAAAAAAAAGGGAGGAAGATTGGCAAAAGATGTTAGCTCATGGAGAATCTTCCTCAGCAAAAAAAAAAAAACGACAAGAAAAAGACTGGGGCTTACTCCCAAGCGGATCGCTATCAAATAGGTTGGAGTGGCGTAGGTGTCCCCTGTTGCTTTTCTTTGGTCTTTCTATTCTTGTCCTCGCTTTTAATTTAATTTCTTTGTTCTTGTGGTTGGCATTCTCGTTGTTCTTCCTGTTGATATGGAAATAACTTTTAAAATTTCATTTCTGTCTGATGAACTCCATTCCCCCAACCTTAGTCTCTGGTTCCAGAGATAGGCCCGCTTTTCAGGACCATTTGTTATTACAGCAATGAAAGTCCTAATTATTAAACTTATAAACATTCTTTAGACACTCTACCCCCTTACTTTACTTTGTCAGTGTTTTCCTGTTTATAGAAGCACCTATGAATTGTTCCAGAAACCACAAACTCTTTGTTGCTCTAAAGCACCAGTTTTTGCTGGAAGAATGGGTTTAACAACTTGGCATAGCTCTCTTGAAAGGGGGCTAACCCTTGTCCTCAGTGTTTTCTTTTTAGAAACAAGTAGCAATATATGGCCTATCTTGTTTCATTAACCTGTCTCCCCTTGCTGGATTATTTGTTTCTGGTGTGATCCCTGCGACTGATTTTTCTGGGCATGCTACAGCCAGCATAGTTTTTACTGCTGCTCTGTTTTTCATTGTGAAGAAGGATCATTTTTCCTACCATTCAGATATTTTGAAAGGCATCTGTGCCCACATGTCATTTAACACTCAAATAACATTTTTCTTTGGCAACAGCTTACCTCACAGACTGTCCTCTCATATTACTTCCAATAGAGAGAGAATCTGGTTTCACAGCGTATTTAGCAGGTTAAATTTCTTTTAAGTTGAGGTTTGAGGTAAAATAAATTTAATGACGGTAAAAACCCTTCTATGCTCTTTTCATAGAATTGGCAGAAAATATTTCAAAATCTGAAAAGGTGTAGTTTGAGTAATTTTAAAGCACAGTGTCTCTTAAAGAAGGTGTTTAGTACATGACTTGTATGAAAATTAATTTGTTCTTAGCTCTTAATTTTACAGTAGAAAGTAAAGATATTTGCCAAGCTTTTGCCTGAAAAATTGGTGAAATTTATGGGGAGTTAAAGTGCTAATTGGGGAAATGCCCTGCAGTTGAGTTGCAAATGATAGGAAAATACAGAATCTGAAGCAGAAGCAAAGTAAAGGACCATAAGCAAAGGATCATGATTTCTTTTTCTCCCTGGCTGCTAGGATGCTCAGAGCCAATGTGCTTAATATTCCTGGTGTAGTTCTCCTTCATTTTCTCCATCTTTCTCATTTATTTTATGCTTTCTTATTTTTGAAGCTCCCTTAAAACTTTTTTTTCCCTGAAAGAGGTGAGAGTAACTAAATAAAAATGAAATAATGTGTGTCATGTTTGTGTCTTGCATCCATTTTGCTCATAATTAGGGTATCTTTTTGACCCTCTTATCTCAACTGCACGTGTGACTAAATCCTACCTGGCTGTGTCAGCGTGCTGCTGATGTCTGTCTGTGCTCCTTGTGTTTGTAGGTCGGCTCCTAGAGTGATTGCTCATCCCTCTTGGACTTCGGTTCTGTGGTGCAGATGGAGTGTAGGACTCAGTTGTCTGGGCCCGAGTGAGAGAAGCCTGATGTCCAAGATGGAGAAGAAACGAAGAAAGAAATGAAAGCCTCTTTTCAGGCCAGACCACAAAAGGCCATGAAATTTAACTTTTATTTACATTGGACAAGACTGTAAAACGAATCATCAGTAATGTTTCAGCTTTTAGGCGAAACAAAAATTAACTTATAATCAAGGAAGAAAAAAGTACGATTTGAATTTGTGATTTTATGATCATATTCACTTATGACCATGAAGCTTGTCAACATCTGGCTGCTTCTGCTGGTGGTTTTGCTCTGTGGGAAGAAACATCTGGGTGACAGACTGGAAAAGAAATCTTTTGAAAGGACCCCGTGCCCTGGCTGTTCCCACCTGACTCTGAAGGTGGAATTCTCCTCAACGGTTGTGGAATATGGTAATGATATTATTACAAATGTTAGGCCCCCCCCACCCCCGTTTTTTTCAAATTTAATTTAAACATTAGCTTTTGCCAAAAAACATTTTCTGTCTTTTCTACAGTGAATTTCATGTGGGGTGAGTGCATAGCTCTGGGATGTTACCCCTGCCGAAGTTTATTTTCCCAGGATAGCTGCCTTATGTGAAGCAAGGAAATGGACGTTCTGAATGATTTCCCTTAAGTTTGATCTTGTGGAGCAGAGGCCCTCGTGGCTGGTGAGGGTGGGAAGTCGGGGGATGCCACAGCTTTATGTGCTGAAGTGCAGGTGACCAGCTGGGAAGAGCTAAGCACATAGTCATATAATTCATTCTAAAGTTTGTTATCATTTTGAGTAAAATAAAACTGAGCCTTCACTTCTCTGAATTCCTTTTTCCTATTTGAAAAACTTACATTTATTTCTTTGCCGTACTTTCAAACTTCTGTTAATATTTGCTTTTTTAAAAATAGCACAGCTTTCTGATGTTGAGTGATGTATTCTGTGATGGGGGTTCACACAGATCATTTTAACTCAGAGCTCTGGAAACTGCTGTCCAGGGTGTTGAAACCAGTCTTTTTTGTTTATTGCTCTTTCTCCTGTGGGTTTTAAGATATATTAGTTTTATATTACCAGAGAAATTTTAGATTATATATAATCTTACGTTATAATATATGTACATAAATTCGTATTTTTATTTTTGGTCGTTGATTTCAGAATATATCGTGGCATTCAATGGATACTTTACAGCCAAAGCTAGAAATTCGTTTATTTCAAGTGCCCTGAAGAGTAGTGAAATAGACAATTGGAGAATTATCCCTCGAAACAATCCATCCAGTGACTACCCTAGTGATTTTGAGGTGATTCAGATAAAAGAAAAACAGAAAGCGGGGCTGCTGACACTTGAAGATCATCCGAACATCAAGCGGGTGACCCCCCAGCGGAAGGTCTTTCGCTCCCTCAAGTATGCTGAGTGTGAGTACCGTGATCCCAGGCTCATCTGTGTCCGTTTCTGTTGCACTTGGGTTTAGGGAGAGTGTATGTATTCACACACGATGCACTCTGCCCCCCTCCCTCTGCCTCCTGACTTCATTGTGAAAAACTTCAAACTGGCAGAAGAGTTGAAAAATAGTGCAGTGAATACCCACGTCCCTTCGTCTACTTTCATCAGTTGTGAACATTTTCTTGGCAGGAATTTAAAAAACAAAAAAGAGGATTCATGCTATTCTGGTAGAAAAAAATATGAAAATTGGCAGTAGGGGATGGTAGTGGTCTTTGTTTCTGTTGGAAGTGATTTTCACCCCGGTTGGTCTCGTCTCAGAGCCCTCAGACTTTGAGGCTGCGATGCCCCTTCACATTCTGGAATGAAAGACAACAGCTTTGAGTCTCCTCTCTACTTGCATTTTGTCTCTGTCAGTATGTATGTTTATTTTTTGTGGCATCTTGCAAAATGCCTTTCCTTGGGTTTCATTTTGTTTTTCTCAGAGCCTCCTGACCATGCATAGTTGTGCCTTACTTAGCTGGGCTTATTTCAGTCGTAAGCTGCAGGTGTGAGGATGGAAAGAATTTGATTATTCCCTTTTCAGCTCGAGGGCTTATTCTTTCCCACTTGTTTACAACTTGGGCTTGTCGAGATAGAGTTTATCCTCAAATAATAAATTGCCTGTTTATTACATAATATTTTTCAAAGCATATGTATTATCAAAGGAAAATTTTTTTTCCTATTTGTCATAAACTGGGGTTACAAATTGCTAGTTCTGTTATCATTTACTATCATTTCTTTCATTGGAAGGAAAAAGAAATACAGTTTGGCTTTTCTTCCTTTGGCATATGTTAGGCCTGAGAGCCTCTGAGGTTTAAAAAAAACACAGGGAAAAGGCTACCTGATTTGCATATGTGCCAAGCCAGTTCTCGAGTCAGCTCTGTACTTCATGGGTCTGACTTCTTCAGAGCCCTCTGCTAGTCCAGATGTTTTGTAGTGCTTTTCCTCTTTAAAAAGGAGTAACCTCAAAACAGGAAGATAAAAACAAATCAAACCTTGTACAATTAGCGAAATATTATACATTGTGCCTCTTTATTTCATTTTTTTATCTTAAAGAGCTCTAGAATATATTAGGAAACATAGAAATGCCTAATTTTAGCATAGTAATCAGAATCTCATGGTTGGGTTCCTTTCTGTGCACTGCACTGTGGTTGTCAAATGCTGTACTGGACCCCCCGGAAGGAAGTAGTTTACTTCCTGACAGGCCCAGTCTCTCTTGTCATTATCCACGACCTTGTTTGGTAAGCAACTTTTCTCATCCAAAAAAAGGAGATAGTACTGCTTACCTCACAGGGTTCTTCTGAAGATAAAATGAAATAGTACGTGTGAAGAGAGCTGAGCAGAGTTTTTAGCATGTTGTAAGTAGACATTAAATGTTAATTATTTCTATGGTTCTATTGTTAGAAGACTTTGCTTTATTCTGGGCCGAAACCTGCCTCACTTTGGACCCCATCCCTGGCTGTATCTCTTGGGCTGTGAGACAGAGCTAACCTGTTTTCCACAAGATGATACTTAAAGATTTATTTTGAAGATATCCATGGTGTCTTCTAGACAGTTGCTTTTCTCCAGGATAATAAAGATCTTCAGTTCCTTCAGGGGTTACTCATATGACATGGTTCAAGTCCCCTCACCATTTTAATTGCCTTCCTTTGAATACTCTCCGGTTTTTCTAAATTGCTCTTAAGAGTGGAGCCAGAACTGGATTCAGTACTTCAGGTGTAGTCTGGTCTGCTCAAGGTAAAGCAGAACAGTCCCCTCCCTTGTTCTAAATATTGTTCTTCAGTTAGTACCTCCAGTACTGTCCCATGCTGTTGACTTAAAGGAACAGAATCAACAGGGGAAGTTCAGTACAGAATAGTTTCAGTTGGACTGTGCAAATAATTACTGACTGAAATTGACATGGCTATATATTTCTCCAGGTCTCTGTACTTTCATGGGTCTAGCCTGGTAAGACTGGAATAAAAATGATCGTGACTTGCTTTAGAAACAGAACTTCAGTAGTATTACAGATTTACTCTTAAAACTGGTTGACAATACAATTTTTATTTATCATAGCATGGGCTTTGAAAGGTAAAGGGACAACTCTTGTATTTCTTTTGCTTTTTTCTTCCATTTAAAAAAAAGTAAGGTATTTACAGTTAGTAAAATTTATGCTTTTTAATTCACAGTTTGGCAAGTTTTGATAAAAGTGTACAGTGAGGTACCCACCCACAAAATCAAGATATAACATAGTTCCATCACCCTCAGAAATACCCCCAATCTTTTGTAGTTCTTTCGCTTTTTGAAAGGAGACATTCTAATAGATAAGCTTATTGAGAATATTGAGCAATATACAGTTGGTGAAAGGTCCTGTTGCTGTTTGGCCAGAGACAGGTGTAATGGGATAACTTTTTTGCTGTCCCAGAAATCTAGTGCTGTAAAACTTCACGATTGGTCAGTGGCCATTTTCTTCAACTTTTTTTCCCTCTTCTGGTTCAGTGAGAACAAGTTGCTGATGAAAAATCAGACATTCTTCAGTTTTAGTATCACGATTTAAAAATTATTATTTTATCAGTCTCTCTCTGCCTTACATTTGTTAGAAAATTCCAGATAAAAAACCATTTGGGATTAATATGATATGGCTAAATAATATCCTATAAATATAACTGCTTTGAGACAATCCTTCTAGCAAAGGGAGAGAATCCCACTTCCCTTCAAACAGGATTTTAGAAGGTGATCGTTGCTCTGTCCGGAATGATTGTTTTCCCTGACGGGTGTTGTGTCCTGTCAGCATTTTCTCCCCCTTTGATCTTTCTCTTCCTTGGCTCTAGCTGACCCCATAGTGCCCTGTAATGAAACCCGATGGAGCCAGAAGTGGCAGTCATCCCGTCCCCTGCGAAGAGCCAGTCTCTCCCTGGGCTCTGGGTTTTGGCACGCTACAGGAAGACACTCGAGTAGAAGGTTGCTGAGAGCCATCCCACGCCAGGTGGCCCAGACGCTGCAGGCAGACGTGCTTTGGCAGATGGGATATACAGGTGTGTGCTGTTAACCCGGAGGCCGTGTGGGTTGTGCTGTCCAGGGAGTTCCCCTCTTGAGTGCCTGGCGCTGAAGCCATGTGTCTCTCGTGTCTATCCTTCTCACTCTTTGTGAGCTGGATGCAGTCCACTGCCCCTTGTCTTAACTTCTGTTGTGCTGGGTATCTGTTTCTGTGGTTTTTCTAATTGTTTAATCTTATTTTTTTGTGTCTTATTTTTCTGTACTATTTCTGAGGTTAGAAGGGGTGGATTATGGAGCATTTTTCTCCTGTGACACGTACGTGAACAAACACAGCACTGCCCACAAGCCAGAGCTGGCTGGCAGTTCAGCAAATTTCTGTAATTCTTAGGGGAAGAGATCAAATTCAAAGACAGTGTCCTTGATTTGGGCAATTTCATGAAAATGAGTTTATCGCTCCAGTGTGGTGCCCTGTATGCAGAATGGCTAAGTGATAGACTATTGCACTTGTTGATCATTTGTTTCAGAAGAGGAAACAATATTAATGTCCATATCCCATGAAATAAAACCAGTAGGTTTTTTTTCCTTACTGGTTCATCATGGCAGCAAATTCCTATTTTAACTCCCATGAGGGTTTGGACCCTGACTTTTAAATGTAGGCCTGTTTCCCTGGCCCCCAGGCCGTCGTGGTTTGTCCAGGTCCTTTACCCGCACCTGCTGGACTTAGAGACCTTCTCCTCCTTTGATTGCCTCAGCCTCCTGTCCCTCAGAATGCCTGAGATGCTGAAACCTGGGGACTGGCATTTTATTCAAATGATTATCTCCTCTTTGTTTTATCTTTTTAAGGTGAAAACTCCTTCACAAAACAGAAACTCTAATCATCAGAAAAGCTTTTTTTATTCCCCCCCCAACCAAATAGTTTCTAATTTTATGTATGGATTTTTAAAAAGTAAGGAAAACTTTTTGATAGTTAACTTGGTGTAATTGACTATTTAACATAGTATTGATACGTAAACACAACCGTCATACCAGAAAGGCATTACCTTGGTTACAACTGTTAGCTGGTAGATAGTACAAGTATCTTGTATTTTTTCTACATGTTTTCTAGAATTTCTTGATCTGACAGCATCAGTTGTATGTACAGATGGCTTTTGGCCAGTGTCTGAAATAGACTTGTTATTATAGCAAAGTGCATAATAGAGCGGGTTTTCTTAAAATGTGATTATTTTTGCGTGTTGTTGACAGCTGCTCTCTGCAGTTTCTTGTCGTTGATGAGCAGCATCGAGTCGCCCTCCTTGTCAGGAAAGGAAATAGTTTCCCCCTCCCGTAGGGGTGTGCTTTGTGGGTGCCCTTTGCACAGAAGGGCCTCTCTAAGGAGATGAGGGGATGGAGACCTGGAGGAAATTACCAGAAGGGGGAATCAGTCATAGGTGGAGGAGTAGGGAGGGGTGGTTCCATTCTCAAGCATTGTTGACAGTTGGGGGTTCCACAGAGATTTTCTGAGTACCCTCAAGTCTTGTTTAGCAGCGGATGATGGCATTACCCAGCTGTCCTCTTTTCTTAGTCTTGGCTCAGCCAGGGCCCCTGGGGCATCTGACCTAACTTACGCACTCTGTGCAGGCTTTGGCCCTCGATGACATACCGTTCTCTGTGGGTCCCAAGGAGGGATGTATTGTATAGACAAAAATTTAAAAAGATGATTTCTCCAAGCATGGTTGTGCTTGCTTGCTTTTTGGAATAAGGTGCTAACGTGAGGGTTGCTGTTTTTGACACTGGGCTGAGCGAGAAGCATCCCCACTTCAAAAATGTGAAGGAGAGAACCAACTGGACCAACGAGCGAACGCTGGACGACGGTAGGTGGCAGTGTAGCAGAGGGAACACGAGTGATGCATTTTCTGGTCACATGTGGGCTTTGTACATCACTCCCATCCTCCGTTTCATCAGTTAAGAGTTTATTTTTCCATGTGTTAATGATTAAACTGTCCGTGTACAACAGTTACTTGGACCAACCCAAGTTGTTGTGCCTTTTGGCAGAAACTTTTCTAAATATCTCAGAGGATGTCAGGAAGTAGAGTTTGAGGAAAGGAGGGATGCCTGGTGGAGTAGCACCCCCCTATTTGGGAGAGAGCAGGAGTGGCTAGACCCAAAGTGGGCAGGTAGGTGTGGCGTGGGCTCCAAGTGGACGACAATAAAGAGGCAACAGAGACGCTATGTCTAGGACTGGGAGAATGAGTCTGTTTGAATTGGTGGTTTGAACTGTTGCGTCTCGGCACATTGTCAGCTGTTTTATGACTTTTTTCCTTATGGGCAACAGGGCTGGGCCACGGCACCTTTGTGGCCGGTGTGATAGCCAGCATGAGGGAATGCCAAGGATTTGCTCCAGATGCGGAACTTCATATTTTCAGAGTCTTTACCAACAACCAGGTAAGTGTTTTGAGGACCTCTGAAGCTTAAAGAATTGATACTAAACTGTAGAAAGTAAAATCTCTAGAAAATATGTACTGGTTTAAAAGCAGCACACATCAGCGATGCTGAGCTGCTGCTGGTGTCCTGTGTGCCGTGCTATCTCTCCACTGTCCCTTCTGGGTGGCTTTGTTCTTCTCCCAACACCCCCTTCATTGGCCTCACTTGAATCCCAAAGACCCTGCTCCGAGGCATTGCGCTCAGGGGTTTCTTGACTCCCTGTTTCTTCCTCTCCTTTGGGCTTGCCTAGGGCTCCTGTGCCCCCATGTCTCAGGCACGTTTCTTGTACTTTCGACCTGAGAGACTAATCGCATGTTTGTGTGTTTGCCGCCCCTTCTGGCCTGTGTCCGCCTTGAGGGTCGCCTCTGTAGCCCAGCACTAGCCTTGTTTTGGGTAACGTGGATTTACAACTGTGTTCCCTCTCTCTTCATTTGGAAACTATTTCTAGAAAAGGGAAAGGGTCCTAGTATTTACCTTGAAAATTTCATTTTTGTATAGGTAATTCATAGTTCAGAAATATCAAAAGGCAGCATAGGGTAATATCCAACCCTGTGCCCATCCAGCCAGTACTCACCTCATTTCCCCACATCCCATGTGGGAGTTCCTCATTTTCTTGTACCCCTCTTCCTAGAATTTCTTTTGCATATTTAAGCAAATATAAATATGTAGTCTTATTTTAAAAAGCCTTTAAAAAAACATAATTCTTAATCACTATACTGATTCTCTTTCCACTGTACGTTTAATGTTGTATTTTATAAAAATACCTAAATGGTGATACACAAAGTAATTTAATTTCTGTAAGGAAACTAGGAGGAATTGAACATCAGAGAAATAATTCTGTGAGACAACTTTTATTGATGCCATTTATCCTTCGGTCTATGTAGGAATAAAAAATATTAGACCAATACATTAAACTGTTTAGAAACACTTAATAGAAGTGTCTTAGGATAAATCCTTTTATGAGAGGGGCAGTTAGAAGTTTAGGATTTTACCTTGGGAGGTATACTTTAAGGTAAGGGGCTGTACGTTAGACGAGGAGAAATATGCCACCCTCAGAACACAGCTCTCTCCCTGGAATCTAGCTCCAAGGACTTAGCATTTCTGGGTGAAGTAGTTCACATTTCAGAGCATTATCCTAAAGGACTGTTTAAAATTAACTAGGTATCTTACACATCCTGGTTCCTGGATGCCTTCAACTATGCCATCTTAAAGAAGATTGATGTGCTGAACCTCAGCATCGGCGGCCCCGACTTCATGGACCATCCCTTCGTTGACAAGGTTGGTCGTGTCCCTGCACAGAAGGACATTGTGTTTGTTGACAGCTCCTGCTCTTTGCATGCTTGACTTGGCTTCATCTCTAGGGTGCTAGTGGCTCGTCACCTGCATGGTGACAACTTTTTGAGGACAGATGGGCAATGACGTGAGCTTTAGTGACTTGCATCGGAAGTAGCACATGGTGCCTTGTTGATTCCTTCATATCTAAACACACAATCTGTCTTTTCTGAACATGCCTGGAAGGCCGGTGTCTGCTTTGTGCTGCATAGGCCTATAGCCTCGATTTTATCTTCCCTAAACACACTAGTCATCAAACATATCCATGCCTGGAATGGGCTAGTGTTACATTTGGAGGAGGATCCCTTCTTTTTTAGGACTATCTTTAGAAGTTGTGGCTGTTTTTGTACAATTAATGTTGATTGTTAAAAGTGGTGTACTTTCATAAATAAATGCTTGCTAATCTTGTAGGTGTGGGAATTAACGGCTAACAACGTAATCATGGTTTCTGCTATTGGCAACGATGGGCCTCTTTATGGGTAAGTATCCCCAGCAGGGATGACGTTAGAGGTGTTTTTTTTCCTGAAATAACTGAAAATCTGTTGTCTGTCTCTGTATGTATCTATACCTGTTTATATCTATCTAAAACTTTGTACTTTGAAATTTTTCAACATACGAAAAATAGACCTTGTAGTGAAACCTGTGTTCCCGTTGCTTGCTTCAGCAGTTGTCAACTCAAGGCCAATCTTGTTTCTGTTGAATTTCTTTTTTTTTTACTTTGCTGTAAATAGCAATTTAGAGGCCTAAAGTTTTTTATTCTACCCCCCCACCCAAATCAGTCAGGAAAGTAAATCTGTTAGAAATAAATGGATTCCACAGTATTTATTGAGACCCGCTGTGTACGAGGCTCAGAGGTGAAGAGGTCAGTAAGATGAGGCGCCTGCCTTTTTAGGAAAGATGAGGTACAAATACAACAAAACTAATACAGAGGAGAAAGTGTGGGGTGCATAACAGAGACACAGCCACAACAGACTGGGGGATTGCCGAGAGGGATCAGACAGGAGGGATGAGAGAGCAGCAACACAGGAACGGTCCTGTGTGCTGCTTGTTGTGGGAACTAGAGCAGTGTGAGATGCGGAACGTCAGTCACTGGGTCACAGGCAGATCCCAGTTTTTCTCCTACAGATCTGATGTTCATTCCCCAGATAACGTATATAAATAATCTCTTGTGCAGTGGGCTGTCTGTAACCCTCCTTTATCGGGTACCTGAGATGTGTGCAGTTGGGTACTGTGACACAGGGTTTGAGGGAACCACAAAGGAGAAAGAGAAAATATGGAGACCGCCCTCAACGAGCCCTAATACAGTAGAGGAGGGGCACATGCACGCACTCCCTCCTGCCTGTGTGTCTTCGGTGCACACGGCGTGGCTGTGTGCCTGTGCCTTCAGAAACACTCCCTCACTGCGTTGTGCAGTGACATCCCTAGGAGTGCCTACTGGGGAAGCAAGTGGTTTTGAGGACTGGCTGAGCTTAGGCTGAACTCTATCAAGTTAATGTTTTTGTAGGTCACAAAACCTGAATATTGGCAGTCACATGGTTCCACTCTAACAGTTGTTCAGTCAGTGATCCTGTCTTCTTGTAAGGTGTCCAGGGTTCTGGATTTTTGTGTCATCAGTAATGTGTATTGTGACTGATAGGTGTAAGTGGCGTAAACATATCCTGACTATAGGTCTACCATGAAAAACACCAAGTCTTAAGTAATCTCATCAGGTTGTCTTTTTTTCCTTTTCACGTGTTTCTCCCCTTTCTGGTGTGCCCACTCAAGGCCAGCCTTCATCAGTTCAGAGTCCCAAGTTATCGGTCGGTTTCCTCGGTTTCCCAGCCCTCAGTCTTTGCCCACCGCAGCTCTTCCCACATGGCTGACATGGGGTTGTGGGTGGTGGGAAGAGCGCAGGAATGGAGCAGACAGGTCCAACCTGCCCTTGCAGGCTGGGGGCCTGCCCCTCTCTGGGCCGCAGCCTCCTCTCCTGTCATGGAGGCATGAGACCCACCCTGCGTGTGGTTGTGAGGATGAAATTAGACAGTGGAGGGAAAGCCCATGAATACTGAGCCTCTATAAGTGCTGGCTGTTCTTTTTCCTTCCTTTTTTTCTGTTTCTACTGTAAAAACATATATTCTAGCAGTTTTCTTATTCAAGAATCTGCAGTGGATCATTATTGCCTAATCAAATCCAAATTATTCTTGGTTTTCGAGGTCCTCAGTGTTCTAGCCTGGAGTCAGCAAACTTTTTCTGTAAAGGACCAGATAGTGACCCTTTTAGGCTTTGTGGGCCAGATGGTGTTTGTTGCAACTACTCACTGCCCTTGTGCTATGAAAGCAGCCATGGACATGTGGAAGTGAATGGGTGTGGCTATGTTCCAGTAAAACTTTATTTACAAAAGCAGGTAGTGGGTCTGATTTGGCCTACGACCATAGTTCTCCAACTGTAACCTGAAGCTCTTGGCTCAGGTTTATTTTCCACTGTACCGTGTGCATCTCCCTCAAATCCGGTCTCCTCCCTTGGTTTCCCTGTAGAAACCATGTCCATCTTGGTCCCAGCACCTGTTCCTGCCGCTGCCCCTCCTAGCTTGCCTTTCCTCTGTTCACAACTCTCTTGACTACCAGCTCTTCCACATGCCTTTCTGACTGCTTTGCCACACGCTAGTCGCTCTTCTGAAATCCCATGACTTCTATGGGTAGTCACACTCAGTGGCTTTTAGTCCAGGAGTTGTTCTTTTTCAGTGTATTAGAGGGGAACCCTGGAGAGGGGCCCTGTGTCGGTTGTGTCTGCTCACAGAGCCACACAGGGATCTGGCATCTGCCCGCTGCTTCATCGTGCTGGAATGGCATGTCGTCACTGCAGCACAGCTTGTGCGGTTACGGCTCACTGCCTGGCCGTCAGTAGGGCTCGTCAAGGGACCGTAACCTGCTCAGAGCTGAGTCATTTATCGCAGGCGGTGCACTGCTCGCCCCGCTGGAGTTAGTGCTCACATCCCCACAGGCAGCCCTTGCTGTGAGCTCTCTCAGGGTCCTGCACCCTGACCCTTCGAGTCTGCAGCTGCACTTCCCCCTTTTCAGCGCCAGCAAAACTTTCTTGCTGCTTTCCCTTATTTTTTTAGGGTTCGAAGCACATGTATTGTAGGGGTTGACAGGTGGAGGGAGGGTGGGAAGGTGGCATTTTTTTGTGTCAACTTCAGTGGGAAGTTCTGTCAGTGACTTCTGTACTAATCTCTGTTCCTTGATTTCATAGAAGTTTATAAACTTTTAACCAATAAAATCGCTGTTGGTGCCTCTGATCAAGCACCTGGTAGCATGTTGATGGCAGGTGTTGACTCAGTGTGGTTTAAAGTAGTTGGTTAAAAGCACTTGGTCCAGAATCTTGCTGCTAATATCGCCTAAGCCAGTTGGAATCAACTGTGGTTATTGAATTGTCAAAGAGTTCATTTTTTTCGTAGCGAAGCTGTAATAGATACAGCTCAGAAATGCAATTTCATAACTGGTTGTTTTATACTTTCAAACAGTTCAGCTTCATCTTGACTTACCTCTTGATAGTTTAAATGTTTTTGTCGTTATTCATTTTTCTGTAATTTCTTTGCAGATCTAGCACACTTGAGGTATTGAGGAGAATTGCGTGGTGTTTGTCTGTGCATCTCTGTCTTGCCTCTGAGAGGCTCAAGATTATGGGGTAATGATGCTCATTCCCACAGTTCCCATGAGGAACGTGGAACACCCTGCACAAGAGCAGTGGAAAATTTGAACTTTCTGGCCGTGGCAGATGCAGATGTGTGGATATGCTTCCTTCCCAGAGAAATGTGGAATCTAGTTGGGGAGGCAAGATGAATACCCTTGAAACAATTTGAAAGTGATGTGAGAATGTATAAGTAGGTGGTGAATTGGATAGTGTTAAGTCTTGTGAGGTTCAGAGAACAGGAGTTCCTTCGAGCCTGGGAGAGTGAGGGAAAAAGTGAGTCTTGGGGCAAAGTATGATCAGTGGACAGGGAGGGAAAGAAAGAAGGCAGGAAATGATTTGAGGCCAGCGCGAAGGTGGCAGTGAGCCTGGCCTTTCACAGGACAGCTATGAGGAGCAGCAGTCCTTCACAGCCGCACACGTCTTGTCACCAAAGAACTTAATACAGTCTTAGATTCTTCTGGGAGTATTTGCCCTTATTTGAATTATTCATTTAAAATTATTTCTCTTCCCTTGTGTTTTTGTGCCTCAATTTAGCACTCTGAATAACCCTGCTGATCAAATGGATGTCATTGGAGTAGGTGGCATTGACTTTGAGGATAACATCGCCCGCTTCTCTTCAAGGGGAATGACTACCTGGGTAGGCTTTTCTTCATTAGTCGAATGTGCCTGACAGAGTCACTTGTGTAGGACCCTCGGGTGTACCTGTAAGTGCACAAACAGAAAAGGAGCTTGTAAGCCTGACCCTCACATGCACGGATGGAGTAGCCAAGACTGTGGGTGCTTTCCCAGCCATGAGGACCAGAGATCTGGCCCCTCCCACATCTGCTGCTTCACTGTGGCACGTCAGGCACGTGCCGGTTCTGAGTGGTGTTTCTGGTTCCACTTCTTTTTAACTTATTTCTGAGTAAGTCACTTTTTAGGTCAGTTGGATTCATGCCCACTTGTCATAACTAGTAGGAAGGTGATCAGTCCTCCTCAGTGCAAAGTGAGATGATTTTTTTGGCCTTAAGAAGCAGGAGAAGCCAATGAGAACAGCTTAGTATCAACTCTGCTACCACGGAAATAATTATATTTAGTTGGACAAAATCGAAATAACTCCAAACAAGTTAATTCATTCAGCTACTTGAGGTTTAACTGTGCAGCTAATTCATCTTCCTTTACCCATCAGAACAGAGTTGGATTCAAAATTAGATGCTCCCTCAGGCAGACTTGGGTACTTGTCCCTGCCCATTTCAGTCTTCTGGGTCAGATCATCTCTTGGGTGCTCTGACTCATGGCTGCCGAGCTCAGAGGTCTTGGGGAAGGTCTGGGAAAAGAGTCATGACTTCCTGGGAACAGTGTGGTCTTGTCCACACTGGCGCCACTTTATAGGATAGCCTTCCACTTGAGCCTTGGTACCATGACAGTATCCACTCCCCTGGTGCCCCCTCAGTCAGCCCCGCCAGGCTTCCACACCTCGCACACTCAGACGCCTCCTCCTCGAGTGACGCCCACTGAATTGATGCCACGGTCTAGTGGACCCCACTCTGAGAAAGTCGGTCCCAGGGATGTGTTTCATATCCTTTCGTCTGTGCTCCATCAGCACTCTCTTCGTGCTGCCAAATACTAGGAAGTGATGCCTCTAGCAGTCGATGTCTCCCTGGCCCCTTGTAAGTGCTTTCACATAAGGAGGATGCAGTGTCAGGTCCTTGGACTTTATCAAGGCCCTGCTTTTTAGTGGCGTTTTGAGAAGTGTTCTTGAATAATCTACAGAGCTGCAGTTGAAGATATTTTTACTCAGTGTCCCATGTATAGATCCAAGGTCCGTTTATGTTTGATTGTCAAAAAAGATTTTTTCACTTCAAATTGGTATACTTCTTTCTTATAGAATATAATTTCCTGTTGTCATTCTCATTTTGCTCCAATTTTCAGGAAATTTAAGAGCGTACTCAGTTAAAATTTTATCCCCGGTTACTCATACATAGTTACATTTATCATTCTAAATGGTTTTCTTATTCTCCCTCAGATGACAGATTGAAATATCCAGGCATATCATATACTTTTTTCCTTGTAAAGAAACATGTTTCTGGGGCCGGCCCTGTGGCTTAGCGGTTAAGTGCGCACGCTCAGCTACTGGCAGCCCGGGTTTGGATCCCAGGCGCGCACCAACGCACCGCTTGTCCGGCCATGCTGAG